GCATAGATACAAAAGGCAACTGTCAACCAGCTCCACAGGCGGCCCCGTCCAGGAAACACACAGCCAGGCAGACGAGCTCCGAGCCAGCTCCCATGCCACATGATTTAAAGTACTTTTATTTTAAAATGCTTTAAGTGATTTAACTTTGATTCAGTTTCTAAAATTCTTGGTCACATTTGAGGTTCATGGAGGAGTGACATGTTCCTCAAGGTGTTTATTCACCCTCTATTAAAAATTCTTCTGATGGAATACTGAATCCATCAGTGACCTCATCATCTGCCTCATCAATGACACATTCTCTGTCTTTGGTCATGAAGTCTATTGTGACTGTTTGTTTCTCTCCACTTCTCATGTTGGTTCCTGTAGCTGTTATCTCTGTTGAGCCAAACTTTATTTCTAGCCTGACTTTACCCCCTCTAGAGATGTCTACACTGAATGAACCAACCTCATTCACTGCCCAGTCATCTACATAAACTAGATCTTTTCTAACTGTGCGGTAGAATCTCATTGTCATGTTTCTCTGATCTGCTTTAGCTGGAGAACAAAGGAACTCTCTGGTTTCCTCTGATCCAACATCCTCACCTTCTTCCACTAATTTCTTAAAAATATGTCTACTGTATTCCACGCCTCCTGCTGTGAATTTCTTTTCTTCCTTGTGTTTCCTCTCATCAAACTTCTCACAAACAGCAAATCCATAAGTATAGGAACTTTTACGAGAAATAACAACCTGTGGGTTTCTACCAAACTCTACAGCTCCCCTCACAATCGCTTCCTGGGCGCTGAAAGGACACAGAACTTCACACTGATGTTCAAACTGATCAATAATGTGCTGCTGTAGTATTTTACTCTGAGCGTACCCCCCCACTAACAGAATGTAATTAATGTTGGGAACAGAGTTAAAGATTTCTCTCAGATTCTGGGTGATGCCTTTCAGACTTTCTTTAAAGAAAGACCTCAGTCTATTTTGTGATATTATGATGTAATCACCATCCCAGGAAGCACCGAGGTCTGACTTGATGAAATTTTCTCTTCCTGACTTTTTTTCAGCCAATGATACCAGTTTGTGTGGGGGGCTGATCTGAATATCTGTATCTGATTGTTTGAGACGAGTGAAATCATACATGATTCTCTGAGCTGAACTGGGAGAGTTTTGTTGAAATTCATCCCAGACTCCATCAGGGAATATTTCTCTTAGAAAATGTTTAAACTTTCTGTCCACAGTTTGCCCTCCTAGGTTGTTTCCAGAGACCTTGTGCAGCTCCTTCAGGGTTCCTCCATCCTGGACTTCATGAACAGTGATGTCAATAGTTCCTCCTAAAACGACAGATGGGATAATGATGGTTTATTTATTTAAACAGCCACATTTATTCACATTCATTTTCTTTATATTAAAGGAGAATTCCGGTTTTAACACTTTTAGCCCATTTTCTGTAGTGTCCAGGATGAAATCGAATGATCGACACCAAAATTTTGACAATTG